AGGTAACATTTACCTTTAAAGTTAACACATTTTGAGAGCACTTAAAATGAATCTATATCAGTGAAAAAAGCATTGAACTGAGAATATATCCAGTTGCTTGATTAATTTTGCATTAGGTAATATTCAAGACTTAAACAGTAGTAACCTTTATTGACGAAAGTTAGAGTTGTAACAAATGAGGTGATTTCCTCAAACCACATTGTCTACCCCCCATCCGCCGCGGTGTGTATGTGTAAACACGGGATACCCTTCGGTCATGTCAAACAACGTGCCCTTTCCGCCGACTTACGTTCGCCTGAGCGCCCCGCTCGCTCAGGTGAGAAGACAAAACCATGATGTCATAGAGCCCCCATTGTCTAGTGACCTCCAGTTTAACACAAACCTCCTCCAAATAGGACGTCAGTCAACACGTTCTGGTAATCATGTCATGGAGAAAACAGCAATTACCCCGCTGTATTGCAGTAATTCAGGTGAGTTTGTTTCATCATAACATGGGGTTAGCCCTATTTAACCATTTACAGGACAAATGGGGCTTTGTAGAAGACTTGTGCACAACAAAACTTCATAACATTGTCTGTGGCAGTGTGGAAGGACTTGTGGATGTGTCAGGGTGACCTTTAGGTTTTCCCGCTTGAACTGGTCTTCACAGGTATTCATTGTTTCATCCTTACAGACTGGTCCTTAGCTTGTTTAGTCTATAGCCAATTCTTGGGAAATTAGAGTGCAATTTCTAAAATCTTGTATATTCTGATAATAGCGGGAAAAGGAAAGTTCTGAAAGATATTTGAAATCCTGCATGACGAAAACAGCAATTATTACCCTGCTGTATTACAGTAATTCAGGTGAGTTTGTTTCATCATAACATGGGGTTACCTCCATTTAGACATTTACAGGACAAATGGGGCTTTGTAGAAGACTTGTGCACAACAAAACTTCATAACATTGTCTGTGGCAGTGTGGAAGGACTTGTGGATGTGTCAGGGTGACCTTTAGGTTTTCCCGCTTGAACTGGTCTTCACAGGTACAATGTATTCATTGTTTCATCGTGTTACCCTGTTTTACTTTCAAATTAGTCTATAGTCAATTCTTGAGAAATTAGAGTGAAAGTTCTGAAAGATATTTGAAATCCTGCATGACGAAAACAGCAATTACCCCGCTGTATTGCTGTAATTCAGGTGAGTTTGTTTCAATAACATGGGGTTACCTCCATTTAGCCATTTACAGGACAAATGGGGCTTTGTAGAAGACTTGTGCACAACAAAACTTCATAACATTGTCTGTGGCAGTGTGGAAGGACTTGTGGATGTGTCAGGGTGACCTTTAGGTTTTCCCGCTTGAACTGGTCTTCACAGGTATTCATTGTTTCATCCTTACAGACTGGTCCTTAGTTGGCTACCCTGTTTTTCTTTTGGTCTATTGTCGATTCTTGAGAAATTAGAGTGCATTCTAAACTCTTGTATATTCTGATAATAGCGGGAAAAGGAAAGTTCTCAAAGATATTTGAAATCCTGCATGACGAAAACAGCAATTACCCCGCTGTATTGCATTAATTCAGGTGAGTTTGTTTCATCATAACATGGGGTTACCTCCATTTAGCCATTTACAGGACAAATGAAGCTTTGTAGAAGGACTTGTGCACAACAAAACTTCATAACATTGTCTGTGGCAGTGTGGAAGGACTTGTGGATGTGTCAGGGTGACCTTTAGGTTTTCCTGCTTGAACTGGTCTTCACAGGTATTCATTGTTTCATCCTTACAATATGGTCCTTAGTTTCTTACCCTGTTTTTAAGACTACAGTCAATTCTTGAGAAATTAGAGTGCATTCTAAAATCTTGTATATTCTGATAATAGCGGGAAAAGGAAAGATATTTCAAACACTGCATGACGATTGTAACCAAATAACAAATTGTCTTACATGTATTTATAGGCTAGAGAAGTGTTTGAACAACAGAACAAAACTGAAATTGCATAATATAATATAACATTTTTTTTCTATAAACTAAGCATATTAATTTGCTATGAGCACTTCTGAGTAAATATTCTTTGCCTGACAAGTGTGTGTTGTTACCAAAGAATATGTCTAGTACCCATTATACCATGACAGTCAACTGTTTCTAATGCTCTTTTCTGAGCTGGTATTAGGTACTTTGCAGTTGGTACATCCACCAGTTTATAAGTCACTTTGTACATCATGCATAGTGTGGACATTTTTTGCCTGTCTTTCAGTCACACTCTCTGTCAGTAGATTCAGATCCTAGTACAAGTTGAACTTTACAGTTAATCAGTGAGTGAAAGGGTTACGTGCTAAGCTATGGCGGGAATCCAAGGTCCTGTTGTGGTGATGTTATGAGTGGCTGGTGCTGACGCACTGGCCAGCTTCCTGTTTTCAAACACTCTGCACTGGACAGGATCCAGTTTTGGGCTGTCAGGCCTAATATAATAATAGAACTCTGACTGGAGGAATGATAACGTAGGGAGGGACCATCCAAAAACGCTTGCCAAGGAGTATGAAGTTCAGTACATGCCGGCCATTACTGGCAAATTAGCTGCAAATATGATCTTTCTTCAGCTGCAGTGTACTCTATATTTGTGGCATTAGGCCACACCAATTTAATTTCTTGGTTAACGGATTCGCCGCTTCATTTTTTTCTGATTTTAAAATAAAAATAAAAATTCAGAATCAACTGCAAAATGCTCAATACATATATTTTGCCCTGAACAGTTGAAAACATACCTTTTCTTACTACATGTACTTGTTACATTCATTCCACATTTCAATGCAGTGGCATCATTATTAGTTCAAAATTCATTGTTTAAATTTTGAACCAGCCTGGTGTGTTGACTTCATGGCTCCTATTGTATCATTTTGGGCCATGATAATAGGATGCCTAAGCCTGTTTTTATTTATTTTTTTTTTTCGCCCGCCCGCTCCATTATTTTTCTAGAAAAATCCGTTAACCAAGAAATTAAATTGGTGTGGCCTTAGAGGATTTTTACCATGTTCTGCAATGCTTATGAAAAAAAAGACTATGGCAGCCGCTTTAAATTTAAATTTGAGTAATACTGTGGTATATATTTAGAACTTTCATTCAATGAGTACGTACTGCAACTGTAATTCACTATGTTCACAGTGGTGGCTGGTGCAGGAAAAAGAAAGTAAAGTATTTGTAAGTTCACAGTACAGAAGTGCCCACGAAAAATGCGAACATAAATGTACAGCAGAAAAAAAACAAGAATTACAGTATCCTTAGGAGTTGCTTTATAATAATGATACAACTTAGAAGTAACAATTTTTTTCTTCAAGTTGGTGATATTGATGTGACAATTAGTTACTGAACCTCTTTAAGTTATCATTTCTGTACCATCCCTTTCCCTTGTGCTAAAGAGTAAAGAACGTTCCCTTGAACACAGTTGTGATACGTGCCTGTATACAAGCTGGTACCAAAACCCACTGTGCCTATCACGTGCACGCTTCTGGATGTTCAACAAATTCCTCGGGGATTTAGTAACTCCCCACGTCAGGCTTGAACTAGTTTCTGCAGGCTACTCTTGCTATAAACATTCATTTGCCGTGTCTTGGACAGGCAGTTGGCATTTAGCAGTCAAGAGAGAACAGAGGTAGGATGTATATGAGTTAATATGACTGTTCTTTTAAAATCGCAATTGTGAACTAGATCAGTTGCTCTTGTTTTGAAATGCCAATAGATAAATATTCAATTGTGGCAAAATGTAGGGCAGTCCTTTTGTACAACAGTTAGTATAATTATTTAATTCCATCACTTCCAGTTTGTAAAGATGAAACCACAAGGGGAAATGCTTCATTGAACCAGGGCTGTTTCAGATCTGTATGTAATAATAGTCCGGTACTTGGTAACTTCCTTAAAGTTTCTGGGACTCAGTAAGTGAGCACTTAAAATGTGTTCGTGTTGCTTAAATGTACCCTTGGCATAGAACCACTTGTTAAATTGTTTTTTCCTCATTCATTAATTCTGAAGGGATGTTTGTATTTGTACAAAAAGTCATTAGAGAAGAAGACTAGTCTTAGAGTAACCTCAGCTACAATCTTTTATCTGTCAGTGTTTGGGTAGGTTAAGATTTCTTTGATGTACAGAAAGAATCTTCGGAAGCCACGAAATGCTTCCTTACCACTTTAAAACTTTCTCAGGGTTTGACCAACAACAATAAGTTGTCGGAAACCTGAACACAACAAGTTTACATGTTCCTCTCCGCGGACACTGCTTTTCTATGCTCCTGGCGGAAACTCGGATCCTGTTTTTAACTCAGTTCAAACACGGGCATTGTGTTGTCAGGAAGTAGTGTCCGTGTTAGTGCAGCGGGGTATAGCGGTGTGAGACATGCTCCACCACAAGTCTTAATGTGCTACGGGTTTTTGGGGACACCAGGGTATGTGTCTTAGGAGTTACCCTTTTGCAGGTGCATAGTCTAATAACTGTCCCATGAAGACAATGACAGAGATGGGCTATTTTGGGTTCTTCTGCAGAAAGCTGGCACGCTTATGTACAGTACATGTTTTTGTATGACTTTTTTTTGTGTGTAAAATGTAAGTCAAGGAACTTGTCTTGTCTACATGTATGGGACTGTCATTAGTCTTGTACTTCATGTACAATGTACAGTCTGTAACATCTGTGTCCAAAATATCACCAGGGTCCATAATATCGCCACCTTGAGAAATAGTGTGCTTAAAGATATTTTTTCTTAGGAAATCTGAGTCTGTTTTTTCTGGTTCGAATTTCATTTTCTGTTTCATTCATGGCTATGATATTTAATAATAGTATGCAATGCCGTGTGAATTGCATGTTGTTGTTACCAATTACCAAAGATTCATGAAAGGAGTTTGAAGCACCATCGTGGTTTACTTTTTCATTTTATTATGACTGATTCCTTTATGGTAAAAGCTTGCACCACTGTGTACATGTATGTTGCTATTTGGTAAATGATGTTGAAATATTTTTGACAATGATCGTTCCTTGTGTTACAGTTAAGCATGCCGCAGACATCAGCCCGTGACCTGACCACGGTCATACGACTGTCCGCCGGCGAGAGCAACGGCGGCGTATCCACGGAAACTGGAGAAAACGAACTCGACGCTTCCGAGGTACACATGATATGTCATTACCTTATATAGGAAGAAGTTCACTGTGCTTGCATGTATGGTATCTCCATGACTGGATTGTATTGTCATTGGGATTAACTAAGTAAAAACTTAAAGGTAAGGCCTGCGTGCCTGCGAAGCTGGTGTGTTATGCTGAAGGGCGGTTATACCGGCTATACAGATACAGAAGCTGGTGTGTTATGCTGAAGGGCGGTTATACCGGCTATACAGAATCTGATACAGAAGCTGGTGAGTTATGCTGAAGGGCGGTTATACCGGCTATACAGATACAGAAGCTGGTGTGTTACACCGAAGGGCGGTTATACCGGCTATACAGATACAGAAGCTGGTGAGTTATGCTGAAGGGCGGTTATACCGGCTATACAGAATCTGATACAGATACAGAAGGTCAACTGAGGTCAGGGCAACCTAACCTAGTGCATAATAGTGCAAAGTGAACTTAGACCTTCAGGGCAATCCAGCCTAGACCAGCAGAGCAAACTGAGATCCTTAACGCTTAGTCAATATCTAAAACCTGAGTTAGAGCACCCTGAACCAGGGAGGCACAGAAGAAGTATAAGAGGAGTGGTCTTTCATTCTCGAGAAAGACAAAAAAGTTGAAACTGGTCAAATTCTGTCTCAGCGCTGTCATTGTGCTAAAGCTACGAAATGATCAACATCATTGGGACTTTATTCTACATATAAACTGACCTCATCAGAATGTCGGTCAATGTTATTGCGAAGTGTGATGATTGACTTTGTAAAGGTATGTTCGATATGTCCAGTAGGACAAGTCTGATGTCAAAGAAATTAAGTTTCGAAGTGCCAAATTGAATGTTTTTTTTTTAAATGGACACTTTGATATGCAATTGTAGTCTTCCAAGTTGTCTTTCCAAAAGAGAACAGTCTGCTGCTATGATAAATTGTGAATTCAAAATACACTTCAAATCCTCATGACATTTTTAGCAGACTTATTTCTTCTGAAAGTTTTGGTTAACACAAAAGACTTTCAGTGTACAAAAGTGCAGTGTCAGATATTGGTCCCCAGCTCTGCAAAAACAGGATGACAATGAAAGTGACATAATTGTCCACGAATTTCCTGTTTTCTTCTCTTTCGCTTTAAGTTAGACTTATATGGACTGAGTCTGCTGTTATAGCAAAAACATGCATAGTCATGTCAATTGTTCTCAAATATGTAAGACACGTACTAGGTTTATTTTGGTTTCTGTTACTGTAAGTACATGTAAGTAACCAACTCTTGTAGTGTTAGTGTATCGTAAATGTTTCCAATACAAACTTAACGGGTGTTAGGTAAATGTTTCTTGAAGTACGTGTACATTGTATGTCATACCATGAAGTAAGATTGTCTGAACCATAAGCATACACATATGTATGTATATGCTACGCACCACAAACTTTGGGTTAAGTAGTCAAGCTTCTAATGCAATGACTTGACTCAATGATGAACAAGACGTTACGTCAGGTTCTATGTATTGTATTCAGTTGTGGCTTTGAAGGCTCTGCCACTAATATATATACTCTATATAATGACTAACATCTTCTATGTAGATTCATGCAACTTTTTCTCTCGTTTCTTATAAGACAGAAAGTTAATTGTAAAATGTTCTCAATGTCTCCCCGTGCAGGCCCTGATCTACCAGGATGGTAACCTGGTGTCTGGTTCTCTAGAGGCCCTCACACAACACCTGGTCCCCACACCGGACTACTACCCAGAGGTGAGGAAAATTCCTGATTAAAGTACATTGTACACATTCCAATATTAAAGTTCACACCCCTGATTTGGGGCTCCTTGCAGTTAAATCTGTGGGCAGCAGTTTTCTGGTGTAGGTAATTTTCAGTGTTACCATCACCAGTGCAGGTATGCAGAAAAAAAAAAGGGTTTTGAGCCCTGCTGGACAGGTGTAATGTCCAAGTGAGCAGACTTGCATTTGGTACAACCTGAATGTAGATTGTGAGTTAGATCAATCCCTGGCCGAGTCATATCAAAGACTTGCATTGAGTGTCTTCAATGAAAGTCTATGTATAGACTAGTCTAGCCAGATAAGCCTCTACCAGGCTTCGGGAGGCAGCTAGCCTAAGAGTATAGAAATTGGCCAAATAGATAGATAACATGCCAGGGGAGTTTGTCTGCTGGGAGAGGACATTTTGCCGCACCCGGCCGCCTCCCGAAGCCTGGTAGAGGCTATAGCACCACCACTGCGGATATTCAGACAATTTCTTTGTGATTCCAATAATGGAGAAATAGTGCATTATATTATATTATGTATTATTTCTACTATCAAATAATGATGCAATCACACTTGAAACTTTTTTCATTACCCTAGAGTGTAATAGATTTGGCGTAACTCACGTTACAACCAGCCCCATATCAATCCATTTCTGCCGAGACAAGCTGTTTTTCCCAGACTCGAGGTCGATAGTTAGAGCCCATCCTGGGGTATATAACTAGCAATTATCTTTATGGCACCAGGTTGTGGCCATCTACAAAAATGTCTAGTTTTACTGCTATCCTTCACAAGGGTCATCCAGTCACTGTCTGTTGTTTATCTCCTCTATCACTGGGAAAACTGCAGCTATAAAACCACCAAGGGAGGCGTAGTTAGAGGTGAAATTGTGTTAATGGTGGAGGCACGAAAAAAGGCATTTTGTGCTTGGTACTTCAACTCGCATCTACACAATAGATCAGGTTGTGTGCCTGATTTCAATAATTATTTCATAAGTTTGTTAAGATTAATAACTTAGCCATTAGGCCACATTAATTTAATTTCTTGGTTAACAGATTCGCCCGCTTCATTTTTTTTCTGATTTGCAAAAAAAAAATTCATGAACAGCAAAATGCTCATATTTTGCCCTGAACAGTTGAAAACAGTCCTTTTCTTCCTATAATAGTTGTTACAGTTATTCCATCTTTCAATGCAGTTGTTTCATTAAAAGTTCAAAATTCATTGTTTAAATTTTGAACCAACACACCAGGTGTACAGACCTCATGGCTCCTATTGTTATTTTAGGCCAATAGTAGGATGCCTAGGCCTATTTTTTTTTTTTCGCCCGCCCGCTCCATTATTTTTCTAGAAAAATCCGTTTACCAAGAAATTAAATAATATTGGTGTGGCCTTGTTTAAATTTATAACTAGCCATCATTATCTAAATTATATTTAATATTTATTTACATGTTTATAAAAACAATCATAAGCTTTGCAGAAAAAGGAAATAAGAATGAAACGATTATCTTTGATGTCATTCAAATTTTGGCTCAAATCAAATTAAATTTATTTTTACGTAATTTTCAAGTAATTAAAATTGTGCCACAATTTTCACAAACGTTCAGCAATTATCATACACAACGCTTCAGAGCAGACCCATACACAATGTTTTTTTTCTGTGGTTCTATTTTGGAATAAAAGTGAATGTCATTGACCTTATCAGATGCAGTATGAATAATTGAAGTTTATTTCTTATCTAAAATGTAAACCTTGAACTTAGGGATTGACCTTTGCAGACAACTTTAGTAATGTTACCTTAGAGGATCATTCATTATAGATGATGTTATATAAGTTGTGCATAATATAATATTGTGAACAATTTTTATACTAGTCAGTGATATAATTATTACTAACAATTTTGCTCCAATGTAAGTTGATGATTATACATTGGAATATAATGTTGATAATTATACATTATGATAGTGTTGACTTGCAGTTTCAAATTTTAGTATTTAGATTAAGTGACTTAGAATATTGAAAAAATTTGGATTTCGAGCCCTAAAAACTAAATTGGGCCTTTAAGACATGTACCATGCCCAGGGCTGGAAATACTGGGTGCATGTGCACCTTAGTGCACCCAATTCGCACGCAAATATTTTTGTAGGTATTTTATTATTAAATAATAGTACGCAGGATATTCTTGGCATCTAAGCATCAGAAAAATAATAAAATTTTTGTTGTAGTGCTTGTGTAAGATTTCGAAGTTAGCTCCCATTTCAGATTCAAGCTTAGAAGAGGAGCAGTAAGATCTGTAATTATGTTTTGTTTTATTTGGTGCACCCCAAAAAAATTTTGTGTACCTAATTTTTTAGCTTGGGTGCACCAGTGCACCTAATTTCCCAAAAATGAATTTCGAGCCCCGATGCCATTACTACAATGATTGTGTCAACCAAGAGATAACCCCTTCTGCCTAACATATCTCACACTCACAAACAGACTGTATACTACATGACATACATGCGTACAGCAGTTGAAAGATGTCAGCTTACCCATCCTGATTAATGGTAATGAGGTTGAAGAAATACGACTATGTCATTGATAACCCCAGACCACACTCAGATGTTCCACATTAGTGCTACCATTCCTGGCGACAATCTCCCATCTCTGCCATTCTTGGCAAGATGACAAAAAATAGTCAGGCCGGCCTCTGAGTTTTAATGGCTCCAGGCCCAGAACTTCTTGGCACGAAGATGAAAGGAACACGGAATGTATTTTGCAGCACTAAAAGTTGGCTGGCAAGTTTTAAACTTACAACGAGTGAAATTTGAGATTTTATACCTCCGGGCTTTTTATTGTATATTTTTATATAGGGTTTTAAACAAAGAATGTATCGAGACCGGACACCCCTCTGTGTGAGGGGTCATATACGTGGACCAGACCGAGAATAGCTTAAACATGCCAAAGGTCAACGGTCGTGACCACTTTCACACTCAAAGGGGTGTTTGGGGGCCACCAAAAGGCACCATTTTCACGCCCGAAAACACATATACAATAAAAACAAAAGAACGTGCATCATCTGCAGCCCAATAGCAAAACATATACCGAGTCCCAAAAGAATCCGTCCACCCAAACGCGAGAAACAGCTGCGAACATGAAAATCTAAATCTCTCACAAAGCCCTTCTGCGGAAAGATGTCTCCTCCCCCGGAGGCAATAATTACAAGAGCTGGTCAGGAACTCTTTAAAAAATGGCCACAAAATCTGAAATAATGCCAGGCTTCATAGCTTACTATATAAAGTCAGAAGAGGTTGAAGAAATTTTATTTCATTTTTTGATAACTCCGTAGATTTAAAAATTTGCTTTTATTTTAATTATTCCTCTTCTTTCATTCACCGATAAATTATTAATTAAAAGGTCAATGACCTGGACCAGATGGCTGTCACCGGGGTAACTGGTACTGTAGCGGACACCTTGTGGTATTGGATTGCATTATGTAGCAAGTGGCAGGACAGAGATAGGAAGGACACCATATATAAGAATGTGTAGTAAGAATAAAGTAAAACAGAGATTTACTTTTTTAGGCTTGGCAATGACTTTAAACAATGATGTATGCACTTTGCAAATGTTACCTTTTAAATTAGTTAAAGTTAATAGTCATAGCTAATTTCTATTATATTTTTGTTTCCCACAGAGAACGTACATCTTTGCTTTCCTGCTGTCATCTCGCCTCTTCATTAAACCACATGAGCTGCTTGAAGAAGTTTGCAAGGTACAGTTAACAGTGACTGTCAATAAACATTTAGTACTGTAACATTAGATTCTGTATCAGTACAATCATGTATGTGACAGTGCTTAATATGAATCAGACATCTTTTTTCAGCCTGTTGCCTGTATTTTGCTACCAAAAAGATGCTTGAATTCCACTGAAAGAAAATGGTAAAAAAAAACATGATTATGAATTTCAAAACACTTACATTATAATGTAATATAAACCAAAGCTAACCCAGTCTGCAATTTAAAACTTAACTAGAGGTCGGAGATCTCATGTCTTCGTCAGAGGTACATCGTTCTAGTCTAGTAGAGAAATTAACATGCGTATTCTTCACTCTTTTGGTCTAAAGAACAAAAGAATCTCTGTACTATTTTTATGGTACAGAACACCCTGAAACGGTTTGCCACAGATTATACAGATGCGTCGTCACCCGTGTTAGCCCGCCCCCCCCCCCAACGTTATTTGAGTTTGGACTGTTACTGGAAAAAAAAACCTTCAAGAAATTCTTACTGTGTTGAAAGTGTCACGACAGCGCCGCAAAATATAATAAGAGAAGATGATATAAAGGAAAGAATCAGAACAGGGTGACTACTGCTGTTTTGTTAATTTGTCTTTATGACAAATAGAAGACTTGTTTCTTGTGTTCTTTGTGTCCTAACATTTGTACTTCTACAGTTAGTATATTCCAAATCTAGGCATCTCGTTTTTTGGCCATTGGTTTTTTTATTGCGCGCTTGCCTTAAATTTAAGGTAATTAGATTTAAGGTCTCCAGTGGACGTCATCCATAGCAATTACTTGGTGTGGCCGTAGAAAATAACCTGACATATGTCCAACCTATCCTCCCCCGGCTGAAGTTATAGTACAATCCCTCAATGTAACGTCATTTGATCCCATCCATTATGGGGTTCCCCGGCGGTATATAAACGGCTATATCCAGCTGTCGGCTGTCTCCAAGCAGATGTAGGTGGGGGATTTCTAAACACAAAAGGTCCTATTACGGGGACATAACGACCTCCACGACTTTCATCTTTGAACTCAATCTTGGACACCACCACAGTAACATGCCTATCAAATTTCATTAACTTCCATCCACACATACAAAAGTTATCCTGCTCACAAGAAAATTAACAAAATGCCCCCTGTAGTCACAACGAAACCCCCCACGAAGCTCAGTAACGAACTTAACCTTGGTCCCGACAATAGTTAGCACCACACCAAGAATTATAATCAACATTTTACAAATACTTGAGTTATTTTGCTAACAAGCCACAAACACAAAAGGTGCACTAACGTGACGCACGGACCCCCCACGAAGCCGAAACTTGTACTTGACTTCGGCCTCAACAGCGGTAATCTGCCTGCGAAAAATCATGGACGTCGAATCATGCCTTCCAGAGTTATATCGCAAAATCCGCAGTTCCCCACACTCCGGCGAGACAATTTCATAGTCCTTCTGACGAAGACAATAATATTTAAAACTCTTTATGGAAAGCTTTTCATGAAAATTAGATAATATTTTTCATCCAGGACAACTGTGCATGGCTCCTAGGAATATGAAGCTATACAGCAATATAACTATTATAATCATGACCAAAAATCTTTCTCTGTTCACTTCTAGTCACTACAGAATCTGATAAAAGTACATCCTGTGACTCCTGGGACTATGAAACTCTCAGTTGACTTTCTACAGCAATAATCACGACCAAAAATCTTTCTCTGCTCACTTCTAGTCACTACAGATAAAAGTACATCCACTACAGATATGTCCCTGTCTTCCTAAAATGACATTATCATCAATTATTCACACATTGCCACATTGATTTCCTATCCTGGGAGGACTGAGTGAATGGAAGTATTGGACATGACATATGATCCATGTTCAAGGCAGACAGCTCCTGAATAATTTAGGCTGCCAGGAGATGTTTCTCTCGTCTCTAAGGAGACGTACATGTACATCACACAGAAGAATTGTAACTTGAGGAAACCACCGCAGAATGTCATCCAGAGAAATGAAATCAAACTTTAAGACGGATGAAGGGAGACTTTAAAAGGCACAAAGTAGTTGCCTATCATTCTTCTTTTAGCTACATACATTGTAACTTTCAAAGACTGGAACAAATTTTAAGTGTTGATACTTCCATAAAGTTTAGACATACATGTATGGGTAATGAGATACACAAAAAAAAAGTCATCAAGGAAATTGTTACTCAAACAGTAACAAAATTTTTAATATTGGATTGATTTTGAAAACTGTCACTGATTCAAGTAGCTCCAGTACTTTTTGTCAGTGACTGTCACTGATGAAAAGTACTAGATGCTACTTGAAACATCTATCAGTGACAATTTCCAAAATCTATCCAGTTGCTTGAGTACCAATTTCCTTGGGTAAAAGTATTGATAATTTTTAATTTGTGTTTATTACAAAAGTCTCATACATGTAGGAGAAGACAGGAAAATGATGATCCATATTGACCGTGAATATACATTTTGTATCCTCCAGCATTTAACTCATCAAATTTCGTTTTAATAAATCAACTAACAGGTAGAATACAAAAATAGTATGGCAGATGATGGTGATCATACATTTTCTACATGACTGTACCTTTGATCTTCTTAATGTTCAAGAATTAAGTTTAAATCTGTTAGATATGCCTCCTACTAGCGATCAGAACAGTGCCTGCCCTTTCATCTTCATATATATTAAGAAGCTTACCTTAAGAAATGATAATTGTGTTTTGCAGAGTCTGATTTCTTAAGGATAGTTGCTAGGTTTCCTGGCAACTCATTATGACAACTCATTCACAAAATTGTCAATTTCCTACCAATGAATAACTTCGACACAATTTACTGTAACAGTATTTTTTACTCTATATTTTGCATGGCCATACTACATTTTGTCTTATACATCCATGTACAATTTCAGCAATGTAGACTTCAAATGAAGCTCACAGAGGATAGACAAGACAAGGTTTGTGCCTTCACAATTACCCTCTCAATTGAATTTTAAATTAGTCTTGTCACAAATATGCAAGGAATTAAAAGAAAATCTTTATTTGTTGTTGCATTGTTGTATTAAGTCTATATTTTTGATGTTTTAATTATTTAATAAACCAAAATGTTGATAATATGTATTCACTTTGCAGGCTGCAGAAGGAAGACTTGGCTCTCACATTGTGCAACTCATTAGGTGAGTGCCACTGGATATTGTGTCATGTAAATCTGGTCGTGTACTGTAAATCTGGTCTCAGCAGCAACTCAGCCACTTTACAAGAGACTGTTTCCAATGGTTGTTCCAGACAGGGTTGGTTAACCAGGTGTAGCCACCATTTTACAAGTATATTATGTAAATGTCATTAAAAAAATCTAGAGGGCAAGTGTTTACAGGTCTCATGCAGTAGTTAAAATTGTGTTTGGTAGTTCATGGTTTCATTGTGCATGTGAAGTTACTGTACCATCATGCATTTTAGCATTCAATTTAACCTGATTTTCTCTTGAACAGTGAGTGGACAGAGGTTTTTGCCTATGACTTTAGAGACGAGAGAATGCTGAAACATCTGAAGGACATCACACAGAGATGTTCCATCATTAACGAGGTAATTATATATATAAGGCTTAACATAACTATCATATCAGTGTAGATGTTAAAAGTGAAAACTACTAGTAGATATTTCATGGAGGTACATGACTTTTGTATAAAGTCTTCAATTTCTTGGTTATAATTTTGTAGATCAAGACCTTGCTATTTTTTTCAATATCATTTCACTTGCTATGTTTCAGAATCAGAGAAAAACTGTGGGGCAGATAATGCAGACACTTGTTAGAAAGGTGAGAAAATGATCTAACAATTAGAAGCTATCTATTATCCTCTCTATGCCATAGCCACTGTGTTACTAATATGATCCACATGTGACGACATGTCTCAGTGTACAAGTAAATATGGAACAAGCTGCAGTTAAGTTTTTTTTAAACCAAATTTAAACAGTATAACAAGGATAGGTCATTTTAACTGGAGAATTGTCCTAAAATGTTCTAAAATTTTGTTTTGTTTTAATTCATTGCTCTAATTTGTGCCATTGAGCATTATTTCATGTCTGTCTACCTTGCCTCCCCTGCAGCTGTCAGTGTTGGATAAGTACGAGCATGTCCTGACCAAAATCAACGCCAACCTGACAGACAGGCTTAGAGTCCTCAAGACTAACCCACATGCAATACAGGTAGGACTTCAGACATAACTGGACTTAAAAACATGATTATGATCTATTCATAAAATAAAACTGCATTGCCGCTTTTCATTGAGCACTCAAAGGAAGTTGTAAGGGTCAGACAGAATGTAACAAAGAGAATAGTATGATAAACTACACAACTGTAGCAATTTAATTTTGATGTTTTTTGCAGAAGGACATCCTTAACGTGTGCAATGATCCTGTAGTGATGGCTCAGCAACTTACACACATAGAGATGGTAAGTTACACTGTCACACTTTCCCCCAGAGTTTACCAAAACGTACAAAATGTAATGTATAGAATGCCTAGAATTTGTAAGAGCTACCACACAATTTGCCTGTATTTTTAAAAACTCAAACATTTCAAAATAGATTCACAAAACTTTTTTGTAACTGAAGGAGAACAAAGGTCTCAGATTTTAAAAGTTATTATTTTGGGGGGACATGTCTTGATCCTAAAACTTGCTTAGCTTGCATGTTATGAATTTTTTGCTATTTGACGTTTGTTTGCAGGAGAGAATCAGCCATATCGGGCCGGAAGAGTTTGTGCAATCCTTCGTGTCCAAGGATGTGGCAGAGTGGGATGAGAGGGTTAGTTATTCTCTTCTTTCTTGTACTTTTCAGTTTTCATAATAATTATACCAGCTTATTAAAAACTGAATAAAGAGACTTTTTTTCTTTTTTCACAGCCAAGTCTTTTATTCAGCCGACGTTTTGGTGACAATCTGTCACCTTCCTCAGGGCAATTGTGACTGGTATAAATGTTGTACATTTGGGAATGCATCTATAGCAGAGACACCTGTGTTGTGCAATGTGAACCAGTCAGAATTGCCCTGAGGAAGGTGACAAACAGTCACCGAAACGTCAGCTAAATAAAAGACTTGGTTGTGAAAAAAAAGTCTCTTTACTCAGTGTCTTACCAACCTGATAAAACTATTCACAGCTTATTAAAAGTTGAACTGTTCTCCAACTCCAAAGAATTTAACTCACTGGAGTTTTCACCCAAATTTCTGAGTTGGAAAACAGTTAAATTTTCACTAATGTATCAATTCACTGACAGATGAAGTTTCATGCTGAGCTACATTTTGTACACCACTAGCATGTCTGTCTAACTAGTCTGTCAAATACTTTTGATTTATGATCATTGACGTCACTCTCTTGTCCATTGACGTAATGTTATGCATAGATCAAACTACTATTGACAGAACAGGACAGATGTATGGTATTTGATGCAGTTATCATAAATTATTAATTCTAAATTCTCTACCTCTCTGTTTTGGCGTTATTCCAACATACAGCATGATTGACATTTGAAAATGAATCATGTTAAAATTGCGACTGAACCCCAATCACAATTTATCATTATTTTCAAATAAGTATTGTTCGCTGGGTTGGTCTGTCTATCCAGAGTATGTTGACAGCACATGGGTGAAGAATGAGTGGTCCCCAAGTCAAAAGATTTTAAATCATGGCTGGTATCCAGAATCCAAAGGTTCTGGGTTGAAATCACTGACAGGCCCCAGTGTTGTGCACCTTAGCATCATGCCATACTTATTGAAAAGGGCAGGGGTCCCTCCCAATGTAAGTGGTTCAAACCTTACAGAGGGCCTGCAAGGGGGGGCCGACAACGCTCTATGCTGAATTCGCAAACCTCTCAATTACGCTTTACGATAAATTACAAGTGGCTACAACGCATTACGTAGAATTAAAACGGCAAATACGCTCTACGCAAAATGCAAAGAGCGGTCTGTCTACGCTCTACGTAGAATTAAAACGGCCGATTACGCTCTACGGAAAAGGGCTTGCGGGGCCCCCTTACAAAACTGACATCTTGAAAAGGTTACATGTATATGGTCACCAGTCCTTCCACAAATGTGGTAAGTGTTAAATGAACAAATGGATGAGCATCATCATCAAATAAAGTGCATGACATTATAAGTGATTTCTTGTTCAAACCTAATATGTTTTTTTTCCCTTTCCCAGACCTTGTTCCAGGACATGAAGAAGACATCTAACCTGGAGGCGTATGTCGAGTGGTTCAACCGGCTGAGCTACATGGTGGCAACAGAAATATGTATGGTGAGGCATGCAGCTTCTCGCAGGGTGTGTTAAGCAACGTTTGTCTTCTGCTGCATGCTGCCCCCCTCCCCACCTCAGAGTCTGTACTGTGGTACAGACATCATGCCCCCCTCCCCAATGTGTCAGTACATAAGTGTAAGCCCTTCCCTTATGGTGAAGTTGTACAGACATGATGCCTGTTCCCCATTTCTGTGCAGACAATTGTACATGTACACTAGAAATACACGTATCTCCTCACTTCTAATTCTGTGTAATTCTGTGTACATGTATATAGGCCTTGGAATACCCCCTTACTACTTTGTAATAAGGAATGACCCCCCCCCCTCCCCATGTACATGTATGTGTACAGGAATGCTACTACAGTAATGCCCCCCTCCCCACACTTTTGTGTAAATGTCCACTTACTAAAGGTAAACAGTAATGCCCTCCCTCCCCTTCACTTCTGTATTGCAGTCGTGCATGCGTACAGGAATGCTACTAGAGGAACGTCCCCATTCTCCACTTCTGTGCAAATGTCTACTAAGTGAACAGGAATGCCCCCCTCCCCCACTTCCGTGTAAATGTGTACATGTATTTACAGGAATGCCCCCCTCCCCCACTTTTCTGTAGATAAACAGTAATGCCACACACACACATACACTTCAGGAATGCACCTTTCTTTCTCACTTCTGTATAATAAAACCAGTCTTTTCTTGAGAATAAATTACATACAGGTACATAGGTCATCCCACAAACATCTGTGCTTTGTAAAGCCAAAGAAAACGTGGAGGGCTCTTGCTTGCTGTACTCCCCTGTAGTTGCATCCTTGGTACTGAAGTGCTATCAAAAAGCCTTGTAGTGTGCCTGCAGCTTTACATGTATGTTAGTCCTTGTGTCTTCCAGAGTCTATGGTATCACTGTTACAAAAATGTGTCTCTGTCCAGTGAATCGTCCAGGAATTACTGCCCCGTGAAATCATGTCCTTGGTACTGAATAGCCTTCCGTTGGAAATTTCTTTGTTTCTGGTACAAATTTAGCCATTTCATGGATAAAAAAACATGGCAAGACCCCTACATACCCCCTCTCACCCACTGATATTGTCAACATTGGTAAGAATTCTCATCATTTTATCTACTCTATAACTTTTTAAACCTCTTTTTCACTGATGGTTAATCTTTAAAATTTCCGTTTGTTTCCAGCCTGTGAAAAAGAAGCACAGAGCACGGGTGATTGAGTTCTTCATTGACGTGGCCCGAGAGTGCTTCAACATTGGGAACTTTAACTCCCTCATGGCAATTATTGGTGAGTATGGGGGTTATAAAAACATTTATGAGCAATTGTCTTCATTTGTGGGTTATTTGTTTTGTTCCAAACACCCAAGAGAGGGCAGTTTAAATAATTGTCACAGTTTGTTTTTTAAAGCAATGTTTGGTGTTTCTACCACCCACCACTACCCCTGAATTGTCTCTAATTTTTCTGTTCTTAATAAAAGTCTTTTGAATACTTCTTTGTTATCTTCATAGCTGGTTTGAACATGAGTCCAGTTGCCAGATTGAAGAAAACAGTAAGTAAAAATCAACAGTATTGACTCCGATTTTGTTCTTTTGATCTTTGACTTAGTGATTTCTTATATTTAGTGTTTTGTCACATGGAAGACTTAAAATGTATCCAATGTCTTCCTTTTTTCTACAGTGGTCTAAGGTGGATACTTGCAAGTTTGACGTTCTGGAGGTAGGCACTTCTTATACATAATGTAAAATTATTGTAATGCACGATGAAGTCAACATCTCTGATGAATTATATTGTTCATGTGATCTTGATCAACTTCCCGAGGATAAGGGAGCTTAGATCATTTCTGCATGACCAATACTCATTTGGAGTAAAATGTCTCAATACAGTAACAGTGCATAGAATCTGCAGTTTTGCCATGACATGCTAGGGGGCAGTGTTAAGAAGATGTTGCAATTGAATTTGAGGAGAAGGGGTGTTTGATTATCATTTTCTTGTTGAATCTCCATATGACATACATGTACATGTAACCTTATCTTGAAAGTTTATCTGTTTTCATTGGTAGAGGTCATTATGAAACAAGTTTGAACTGTAATAACAGTGTATTGCTCATTCCTTGACCAAGACTTGAGTTGTACAGTTGAAAATTTAAGTGAGTCCAATTTTTTGTGTTGGCCATTACAGTTCAAACTTGTTTCATAATGTCCATGTAACATTTCTGTGTAACTCAGACACAGTTATTGAACATTGTTTTTTCCCCATCTTTCCCGCAGCACCAAATGGATCCAACGTCCAACTTCTCCAACTACCGGGCCTCCCTGATGGCTGCACTGCACAGAGCGGCAGGGGCGCACAGTAACAGAGAACGGGTCAGGACTACTTTCATGTTTTTTACATTTGCGCAAATCATATACAACTCTACAGCTGTACAGTAGTAAACTTATTGGAGTCTTGTTTTAAGCAATACTGTAAATCACAATTTTTCGTCAGAGTTTTATTTAGGAAGTGACCGCAAAGAAAACAAATAATTCGCTTCCTTTTTTTTGCACCTACTGCCACCACGAACGTATAGTTTCGTGAACATGTCGATTTTTCTCAGATGAAATTTTGATACTGCAAACATAAAGTGATTTACAGTATCTATGGACAGACGGACAGATTTGATGATTGATTGATTGATTGATTGATTGATTGATTGATTGATTGATTGATTGATTGATTGATTGATTGATTGATTGATTGATTGATTGATTGTCTTTTGTGACTAGTTTTAAAATGTTTTTCATATCTCCCCGTTACAGATTGTCATACCATTCTTCAGCCTGATGGTGAAGGATATCTACTTCCTCAACGAGACATGTAGCAACAAACTTCCCAACGGACACGTCCGTTTTGAGGTAACATTTCAATAATTCCAATATTTTTGGTCAGCTCTTCAAAGGTCATAAGGCCTACATGTAGAAAAAAGAATGTTGTATTTCCTGTTTCAGTCCTAAAAGAATTAGGGTCGGTTATCTTTTATTTCGTTTCTTTTAGACTTTGGTGATCTCTAGTGATCTAACTTGACTATACAGTTGAACAAAACTTGCCTGAGGACACTAATACTGAACACTGTTGTTTGTTATTATTTCATCATTATGATTATTATTATTAGGTAATGGGATGGTTCACTACATTGTATATTGTATGTTTATTGATGAATAAATTAAAAAAAAAATACTGAACACTGTCAAGACAGCCTAACATGCCTGTCCTTGGTGCTGAACACTAACTATGTTTTCATTGTCAGCGTTGGAAAACCTAATGTTTTATCACTCAGGTGTCAGATCATGGAGCTAGAAAAGGTTGATAAGCTTGAAAAATTATGTCCTTTGCTGGGGTCCACCCCAAAAAAAGGCTAGGGTCAGCAGTTTTTGCTAAGGTCATTTGCTCAGTCTGAAACAACATGTTTTCCTTACATAGTGCATTCAATGGTCCTAATAGATAACACCATCACGTCCCCCTAGCTAGAATTCTGTAGATGTTACCAGGTACCTTATTCCTTGTGAAGCTATGATTTCAACTTGTAGTGAAACATGTCTTTTTGTTTGTTAACAGAAATTTTGGCAGCTGGCAAGACAGGTGACCTCCTTTTGCACCTGGCAGCAGGTGGAGGTAAGGAAAAATGTTGTCTCTTTGGACATGTTTACATGTTCTAGAAAAAGACATGATACAAGTACTTGCTTTCAAATTTCTTGTTCTTGCTTGTAAATTTATTCACTGTCCATGCATACAGTACATGTGCTTTCTGTTTTGAACTGAAACCCCCTTGTGTGTATTTAATTTTAATATTAATTTTATTTTAATATAAGATTAGAGTTTTTTTTAACATTTCATCCTTTGCCTACTCCAGTGCCCATTTGAGAGACACCGCAAAGTGCTGAACTACCTTCTGACAGCTCCTGTGTTCTATGAAGACTGTAAGTAGGAAGATTCCATTCACATACATTTTGTGAGTCTTGAGTCTACATAACATCAGCCTACATAATAACTGCACCTGCATGTAAATGAATACAGACCTATGGCTCATGAAACACGTTCATTTGAGAAGCAAGCAAAAGCAAATATTAATATCTTGCAATTGTATGAAGTCACGGTAATGACACCAAAAGAACAATAGTTACAATGTACGAGGCGTTCTGCATTGGTCGCCATGCTCATCATTTACTTTTATTTAATTTAGGCCATGTTGATGTGATTATATGTATGACATCCTCTGGGAACCCCAAAACTGATGCGCGCGTGCGAATAAAAAAAAAGTTTAGCAAAAAAAAAAAGTTGTTTTCATTATGAAATGTACGTGGTTTTGAAGGTTGCACAAATGGCACAGAATATGGTTTGGCGAATAATCTACTCTTCGAATTCATTTCTTTACAGTTTCGTCTTTTTTCGTATGATTTTGGCATTCTACGACATTGGTATAGTTATAATTTATTATTATTTTTTTTGTAACTGACGGTATATTTTTGCTCATTTTGCAACTGTTTTGTACGATTTACAGTATGGTTGAAAACTTTTTTTTTTTGGAAACGGCCGAAAATTCATGCGCGCGCGGATGTCATCCATATAATCAAATCAATATGGCCTTAATTGGATTAGCTGGCAGCAGAAATCAAGACCTGGAAGGATGATTTTTTCAAGATTCAATGTTCCCATACATCAGAAGAGTGTAGTTGTGGTCAGTTGTTCATTGAATAATACCTATCACGTTTGACTACTTTCAGGAACTGGTATATTTTAGTGTTGTTGGTATCATATGGTCTCAAATTTTTACATTTTTCTCCTGTCACAGCTCTGCACCTGGTGTCGTTCGACTGTGAAGGACCTGAAAACCACCTGGAGAAGGAACGGTTCAAGACACTGAAGTAAGGACACCAGGATTGTACAAGACTCTTTCAATTCTTTATTACATGTATAAGTCACCTACAATGATTTTTTCATAGCTGCTCATGACAGGAAAATTCGATCTCATCTGGCTGTAGTTGAAACAACTAGTATTACCTGCCTAACAGACACATTTACAAGACATTACAGTACAGGATTCTTCTGTTATAATCGAAATTTCAATGCCTGCTGTGGGCTTTTTTGCAGTTTGGAATGTTGTAAAACAGTCAATTTCTCAGTCATCGTGATTTAAACCAACTTCAAGTGACTACATTATGCTTTCGACATTATATTTTACAGACTTTCTTTGGTGTCATATGGTCTTTAACTGTTTAACCATACCTGTTTAGTAGTAGCGACTAAGATTGTAAATGAATAAAAGCGACTTAGCGACTAAGATTGTAAATGTGTAAATTATTTGTTTGCTGTATATATATCTGTGGTATCCTTTGACACGTTGAAACTTTCTTCACTTCCAGGAGTCAACTTCTTGACCAGTGATGTTCCCGACACAAGGAGCGACGACATTTTTGTTGGTGTACCAAGTTGTAAATAGTCCTGCAAGTGGTGCACAACAAAACACAAATTTTAAGTTTTTTCCCCGTGATGTACATTAGAAGAGACAAACCAGTGAAGTACGACAGACTGCTGGTCAGCTGGAAGTCATACTGGACATGTTTGAAGCGATCGAAAATCAAGGATTTTTCCAAAATATTCTGACGTTAACTCCAATCCTTTTACTTCATGATTCAAATGGTATTTAAAAAAGAGAACGAATTTGAAGAATTATAAGGATTGTTTAGGATGGATTATTTGAAACTTTGCAAGAGTTATTCATAATTAATTTTTGAAAACAGTAAAATTCAAGGAAGCTCCAAACTTATGATTTGTAATGGGTCTTATGATTAAAATTATGACTTAAAAGTTTGAGAAATGCAGCCATTTACCGAGAGGAAAATAGCTGTGATTTCAGGAGTGATATTTAGTATTTGGAATGACATCTGGATTTTCTCTCTTTTAAACAAAATTATATATTATAAATTGAAAACCATATTAAAGATAAATACTAGACATTACTTTGAACAAAGAATAAATCTGAATGCAAGCACACAAGTCATGTAAATTATTAAATCAAATTGGTAAGAAATATGATGCACTTTGTACAAACCATTTGTTCCTTTTCATGTTTCATATTGGTTATTAAAATCATGTATTTCAAATATTATCATGGTAATTAACATTGTGAAACCAAATCTTCTGAAAGTTGGATGTACTTTAATTTCATGTTGTGTATAATAATAGATTTTAATTGTTCTATAAAGATGTGTACATATTACATTCTATTTGTGTATATTAAGCAAACAAATGTGCCAATAATTGTTGTCTGTTCAATGTATAGTATTATTTCTGTGGAATTCCTTCCTTATTGTACCTGGCATGACTATACAAAATTGTAAATTATGACAGTTACTGTGCAATCGGCCAGTTAATGAAAATGTGACTATGTATTCTATAATATGGACCATAGGGCCTCACCAATTTAATTTCTTGGTTAACGGATTTTTCTAGAAAAATAATGGAGCGGGCGGGCGAAAAAAAATAAAATAAAAACAGGTCTAGGCATCCTATTATGGCCCAAAATGGTATGATAGGAGCCACCAAGTCAACACACCTGGCTGGTTCAAAATTTAAACAATGAATTTTAAACTCTTAATGATACCATTGCATTGAAAGATGGAATGACTGTAACAACTAGGATGAAAAGGACTGTTTTCAACTGTTCAGGGCAAAATATGAGCATTTTGCAGTTGATTCTGAATATTAATTTTTTGGGCAAATCAGAAAAAATGAAGCGGTCGAATCCGTTAACCAAGAAATTAAATTGGTGTGGCCTAGGGAAAAATTGCAAAGTTATGTTTCTGTTTTCTAAAATGACCCTAGCAAAAACCCGGCTACCCTAGATGTGCGTGCTAATGTCATCCATAGAAAATTACTTGCTTTGGCTTATACATGTAATTATTAAATATGGTGTGACCAAGCTTTTGCCAAACCATTCCAGACCCTGTGTCTTCATAATCAACTTTGTACATACTTAGGGATACTAAGTAACAATGCAAAATAAATCAATGCACTTATCACTATAAACCTGGAGTGGGGAAAGGTTGGGGTCAATGTTGACTGATGCGCAGAGGGAACCTATATGTAAAGTATAATGTATTACACAAACACAAAACCATGCATGTTGTGTATAATTACATAATAGTATACAATGTATACATCGATAGTTGATGCTATAGCTAGATACCAGGATTTTACAACAGTGAAGTACTTACGGTGGAGTTGTATTAAATTCAGATTGTGAAAGGCTTTTATGAATTAACATACTGAAAATTCTACTTTCTACTAAGTGAAAGTGTACTCTGCTGTCAAATTGAGTGTGTAATATTTGTGGGTGAAAAATCTGACATCTATAAAATTAAAGGATTGTCTTTGAAGGGACAGACTGAGCATAGTGTAACATAAAACTGGTAAACATGACTGTTGGGCTTGAAATCAGCTTTACCTTTTAAAGGTACCTACAACATGTACAAATCATGACCATTTTAGACAATGAAAAATTAAACCAACAGCATTTTGTTACAGTAATGCCAGGAAAATCAATTTCGAAAAACTGTTTGATGTAAATTCTATGCCTAGATCATGTCTTCCTGTCACTCCAAAGTACTGTGCCAAGTATGTCAAATCTTGTACTCTTTGAACATCTTTGTATAGCTACTGGCAAATGCTTCTACTGGCTGTCAGAAAAGTGAAAGAAATTGTTAATTTGCAGTTGTGTCAGACAGAACTAGACCAGGTGTACTTTGCTTAGAAATCATGTGGCTACACTGTGTATGTACATGTATATACATTATATTCCCTTTAGTCATAGACTACCCGTAATCTTTAGTCGACTCAACTTTTCAAGGAATTGTATACGTTTAAGCTTAAAGTGGCCTTTGTGTAGCTTTGAACAGCTTTGATACCCATCTTGGTGCAATGTAATTCATTGTAAAATCATCTTGTTCATGTCTACTTTGGTTTATAGGACACCACAAGTTCTTACCCAGAAAATCACACTGTAGAATTTCTTAAAGGTTGTCCAAGAATGAAAAAAATGCACATCGTGCCATTTTTACTGTGGTTGTAAAATGATGATCGACTGTACTGAACTGCATATAGAAGACATAAAATGTCCTGTTTTTGTAAAGGGGTCTCCATTTTCTAGAAACTCTCACGTACGATTTAGATCGGATGAAGGACATTTATTAGGCACAGATACTTCAGTGTAATACACAGTCTATAGGTGGTCTGTCGTTTCATCTGTAAAAGTGCACTGTAGCCAAGGAAGGAATCCGAATGTACAGCAAATTTTACACTGCCTTGTGTATGAATGTGTATCAGTGAATGAGGTTCTGTGTATGATGTATTCACACAGATGTATTGCAGATAAAATGACTGTGATATAATTACAATTATGATAATTGTAACTAAGAAGTGACTGTGAATACAAATAAAAGTGGAATATACACAATTGTTTATATGCTATTCTCTTCCTGGCATTTTCATCAAGTAATCGCATATAAGGTGTCGCACTTTCATTTTGTAAAGCAATTATGTGAAATCTATCAAATCTACTTTCTACATTGTAGTCATAGTATTACTAAGAATCATTCAAGAGGCTGTTGTAGCATTCTTTCGACTTTTATCTCTTAGGAAGTACTATAAAAAGCGCTCTATACACCCAATAGTGAAAAATAGTTACTGAAATATACATTACCACATCAGGTAAAACACAGATATCAAAATTTGTTTTTGTTAGCCTTACGTGCTAAACCTTAAACATACGTCCAAACACACAGTGTGATATATCTTGCTAACTACATACAACATGCATTAAATTTTGCTTGAAAATGACGTCGCGGATATAGAGTGCTTTATGTGTCATGTCTGGTTTGCACATGATGCATTCCTGACTTGACGTTGATGAGCAAACATGTACATGTATGTACTGAACGATGAAGTTGTATGTTGTTTAAGATTTACAGATGAGCGCGCAGGGACGGCATGAAGTCCCCTAAGACAGCGCGGTTGGCTGATCCAACAATCAGAACAAATGCAGTTTACTAGATGTAAATTGACATTTGTCATAGCTTGCTCACAAAACAATCTGAAAAATCATAACCACGTGTAGCGGTCCTTTAAGAAATCGATCATCCGCCATCACTGATGAACACGTTACTGTAGTGGAAGTTGCTCGTTGGCAGGTCAGAACACGTAACTGTTACAAGTACCTTACCTGATGTCATTCATTTGCAAACAACTTAAGCACCTTGTGTTTCAATTACATGTATTATTGTTGTGCTTGAAGTCAGTCAAAGAAGCAAACTTGCATCTGTTTTCTACTGAGAGACATCATTGTTTATTTCATAAAAATGTATATACATGTATTGTACAATGTAGATACTAGTAGTGACTTACTCTTACCTTTTTACGTACATGGGCAAATTTCTGTATCGATGAACGGCTCACTAGTCTTCAACCGACGACATATCATCTACTATATGGTGACCTACTTTCACTAGTGGCTAATGGCCTGGGTGGGCTGACAGTACTCCCAGCATGTGATACTGATTCAGTAGTAAAACACTCTTTGACGTTAACGTTATATTTTCTATATCATGTCATATGGTGAAAACATTACGACAGCTATTCTCTGTGCAAAAGGAACAAAGGCCTTAACTTCTCGGTCCAAAGACCACATGGCCGAAGGCTACCTTAAAAGCAATTCCCTAGGGAATGCATTTGTGATTGAAATTCTTTCAAAGCTATCATTACGGTAGTACATGTATGTACACAAATGCCTTGGCCCCATGAGGCATCGCCAAAAATTGGCCTGAAGTAATGGATGCTGAAGAAAACCCTGGAGTAGAATTCTAATAATTTTGGTTTGCTGAAGCCGGTCACTGCCCCATACCACCTCTACACGCTGGAGACTTGGACACTTTGCCTCCAGAGTCTTCCCACTGTTTTGGTGTTTTTGCCTGGAAATAACAATCAACAGAAATAACAATTAACAGAACTGATAAGTGTTATTAGTTCAACATGTCAAGCTGAAAATACATCTACATAGCCAATATCTGGCAGCACAATAAAAGAGTCTTGATGAAATACACTGGTACATGTAATTACGTAAGTTGCAATGCAAGTAATACAAAGTTAATCTTCTGTCCCAAATTTTATCCATTGACTTCTTAAAACTCATATACTTTTGTACAAAAGTTCAATTAGTGTGGCAAAAGACAATGGAGAAAGCAGAAAAGTGCATCTGAAAGCATATTGGTGGTGCAGTGTCAACTGAAACTGTGCTTCTTATCTCAAACACTAGGTGGCACTTTTGAGCAAGGAGCAGGGACTACATGTAGTAACCTCACCATGATAGAGAGTGCATGGACAGGCCCCTCTAGCTCCTCCTGTAGCACGCCATTCACCATTCTGTGTCGCTGGAAGGAAGTACATTTTGTACAGTCAACTCACAGTCAGTCAAAGCTTGATGCTGAGGAACAGTGAGCTTGTAATACTCGCTGACAGATTGAGATGAATTTCGATTGATGTTGTTTCTATCCCAGATTCTAAGGTCACACCAATTTAATTTCTTGGTTCTCGGATTTTTTCAGAAAAAAATCTTAAGCAACAGGGTGAAAAAAAAACAGGTCTAGGCAGCCTATTATAGCCCCAAATGCTATGATAGGAGCCATGAAGTCAACACAAAAGGCTGGGTTGATATTCAAACAATGAAGTTTGAACTTTTAATCAAACCACTGCATTAATAGATGGAAAAACTGTAACAACTAGGAAACTGTTGGGGACATAATATAATCATTTTTTAGTTGATTCAGAACCAGAACCTTTTTTTTTGCAAATCAGAAAAAAAATGAAGAGGCGCATCCGAGAGCCAACAAATTAAATTGGTGTGGCCTAACAAAGCTATACATGTAAGTAATACTACTGAATACTAAGTGTTTAAACCTTTGTCAGCTACTGAGTACACTGTATGCTGTGAAGATGATCCTGCCTTCTTTTGTCTAATGATTAGAATGATTTTTACCTTTATAATGGCCTCGTTATCAAACTTGTCAGAGACCACCACCACCTTGAAATGTGTTTCTGAACCTGTAGTGATAAAAAAAAAGATGATGATACAAGCAAATCAAACTCACCATGAAAGTTGAAAGAGTTTGTAGTGTCTGGTGGTTTGAAAGAGAGAATTTTTGATTGACTTATAAAGAAGACATTAGTATATTCATCCGAGAATAGTTTCATCAGGTTGGTAAGACACTGAGTGAAGAGACTCTTTTTTCACAACCAAGTCTTTTATTCAGCCAACGTTGCAATGTGAACCAGTCAGAATTGCCCTGAGGAAGGTGAGAGACTGTCACCGAAATGTCGGCTGCATAAAAGACTTGGTTGTGTAAAAGAATCTCTTCACTTGGTGGAAAAAAGAAGATTTGGGTATTAGGACTACCTTATCTAGAAAATACTTGTAATTAGAGAGAAAGGGTAAAAATTTCTTCAAAAGGTACCAGAAATTTGTGACAAAAATTAACAAGGATGAAATTATCTAAAGAGAAAATAACCCTTGCATTCTCCATCTTAGCTTTCTAAATAGGAAAAAAACAGACCTATTTCTTCACACTTACCAGGTGGTACACAGTGCATGTAGCTCTCATTGATGACATCTAGGTGGGAAGGCTGTAAGATAACACAAAGAGAGAACAATTACTTGCAAATTTACAGATGTGTTTAACTTAATCATAAATGTAGGCTAGAAGTGCTGAAAGTACAAGTTGGAAACAACATAGTCACATCAACAACTTTTGGCCTGCTACAAAATCTCTGCAAGCAGAAACAGAAAAGTAACAAGAGAAGAGATGGTTCTTACATTGACTCTTAGTACTACAACATGTAAAATGCCACATGGTTATATGATATAATAATCATTTATATATAATAATATGTATGATTAACAATAGAATGACCTGCCAACCTGGAAATGCTGACTCAGCTTTTCTCTGATGACCGACTCGACTGGACCTGGCTGCTGTGGAACATGACAAAGAAATGTTTTCACAAACTTTCAAGAATATTTCAATAATACACTGTACATGTAACAATTACATAAAATTTGCCTACATGTATTTCAATTTCAATGTGTCAACCACATTTTAATTTCAGAATATTTTTACCGAAAGGAACTGTGAGAGGATTTCGAGAACACTTTCACTAAAAAGCACTGTATGGGGGTTTGAGCACTGTTTGTGAATAAGTGTGTGACAATAATATCCCTCTTTTACTGATATTTTCATGGTCATTGCTCTGCAGAGCTAACCCAACTAGTTCCACCACTCAGAACTTTTAAGCGTTCCACTAGGTTCTCCACTAGCTCACACAACTTCACCGTTCAAATTCCTTGTTCAAAATCTTTTTACAGTGACAGTTTCTTTCCCCGTACGGCCAAGCTTTGGAATTCCCTCCCTGACAAGTGTTTCAAACCAACCTACAATCTACAGGCTTTCAAATCAAATGTTCACCGACATCTCTTGACATAGCCATGTTTCTCTCATCTTTCTAGTTCAATGCCGAGAAGTGGCCGTATAGGCATTGCATTGAACCATTCTGTTAAAAAAATCTATGGCCTGGTGTTCAAGCTACTACATGTAGTATTACCAACGTACATATTCATTATGTCAGTAAACACCTTACCTTTTCTGCAGTAGACATAGTTCCTGCTGACCTGGTACTAGTAGTTAGACTGAGGAGATGACCTCTGTAAGCTGTGACTACTCTACAAGCCTGCTTCACTCCTACATGTAGGGAGAGAGAAAAATATATCATACTTCAAACTTCATCTATAACTTAATATACTACAGGTGGTTCTAAGTAAAATCATTCTTCTCTAGGTAGAGTGTAACATCTGTGTCCATAATATCACCAGGGTCCATAATATCACCAATTTGAGAAATACTAGTAGTGTGCTTAAAGATATTTTTACTGCAACATACCCTAGGTATGTACATTTGAGGTGTGCAGGAGTGCATACCAAAAGTATGTTGCAGTAAAAATATCTTTAAGCACACTGTTTCTCAAGGTGGTGATATTATGGACCCTGGTGATATTATGGACACAGATGTTAGCTATTTATCAAAATTTGTTGTAAACAAACAGTATACTTTATAGTATGCTGTAGCTGTGACTGCTGTGTACAGTGACTTTTATTGTTTTAACGTTAAGTATTTAAAATGTTAAACAGTGATTTAAGAATCTGGCAAAACTATATCACGGATGTAGCAAATGTAGATGTAGTAAAATGTCATTTGAATTTTCTACTGTCAGGTATTAGAATACGTGCTTACAGGCAAAGCAAATAGTATACACATTTTGGTGTGTGTGTTGTGCGTGTGTGTGGGGGGGGGGGGCAACTATAACCTACGTCCACAGAACTGTCCCTTTTTTCCCGCAAAGCTTTCCGAAAAACGCATAAATACGAAGTGACAACTTACCGACATTCATTTAGAAACAGCTACCTCAGAACTTGTGCACCGCTCCCTCACAAAACAAGTATCTTTTCGTCACAAATTTGTTACAAAATTACGCAAACAACCTTCCAACTTTTTTTGTCCGGACAGCTAACCTTTGACCTTACAAAGACTATGCTACTCACCCAGAGAGGGGTGTTCGATAATTTACTTTAATAAACACATTATTCCGACTTGTAAAAAATTATAAGGACATAAACTAGTGATAAAAATATACATTTATGAAGAAATAGATGTTTTTGTGTGTCTTAGAACCAAATTTTTGTTGATAGTGACGAAATAGATTGACATTATCCCTATAATTCTTGGTTATTGGTTTATTCCTTGTCCGAGTTAGAAAATCCAAGATGGAGTCGATCCAGAGAGTGGGAGCGGCCGGTATGTTAGAAAACCATCGCGTTTTGTACAAGTGTAAGGACTACAGACTGCCTCTGTGTGAGCTGTACTTCTGCAGGCACTGCCTCAAGCTCCGATCCAAGGACTGCGTGTCGCATGAGGTGAGCATGGGTTCGATTCCCGCTGTGCAAATGTGAAGGAAAATTTTTTGGCTCTTTCAGATCATGTTCAGATAGATGACGTCATTTTCAGACGTTGCAGCAACTTGATTTTGCGATATTAACAGACATCTTTATCCATCGCGTATGTGACATTTCAGTCATAATTTTAACACTACTTGTACGTATGCTGTTTATCAAAATTTTCTACGTTTGACGATAAAATATTATATTATAAAATGTAGAACTTGCCCCTCCCCTTCGAATTCCTAGAGGCATTCTGATCATAAAATCAACTGGAAATTATAGGGAACCAAGCTGCAAGATTCTGTATGAAAGGGTTGCTAGTGTCACGGAAATGAAAACAAACATACAGTGGGTGTCACTGGAACTTAGTGGGAGACAGGCAAAAAATATTCAGACTACTGGTATATGCATGATTTGCAAAATAACTTATAAATCGTGCCAAATACAAATTATGATTGTACTACAATGTAGGTAACTACCTAATACAAGCTCAAAAAGTTTAAGAACAAGAAAGTCTTGCCTTCAAGTATTAGTACCTACCAGAGTTTTCAATCAAGGATTTAGGTGTTCAAAAACTAGAACTTCCTAGAACTATTGTATTTGTAGAGTGGAACTTGCTGCCACCAAGAACAGTGTCTAGAAATTAGATGTGCAAAGGCTAGTTATGTAGGTTTAAACAAGTTGTGCTTTTGTGTTTCCCCAGGTTGACTCCCACTACTGTCCCAACTGTATGGAGAACATGCCGTCAGCCGAGGCCAAACTCAAGAAAAACAGGTGCATTTCTAGTTTTATTTCAAACTTACAAGTTACATATTATTATTATTCAGGACATGAAAGCTATCTATTAGCTTGTGTCAAATTGATATAGTTCAAATAGAATGCTTCCACGGGTGGTAGTACAGGCTCGGTAGTTCACATTCTGATACTGAGACAGGAGACTATGAATTAATTTTACTATTATCAGTCCTTTTGTGTTTCTCTGGGTACCAGTCAGTGTGCAAAATACCTGGTTGCCCAGTTGCCCCAGGCAACCAAATTTTACTTGGGGCAACCTACTTTTGAACCTAGGTAGCCCAGTGTGCTACCTGAATTTTAAGAATGCCCCCTTCCCCCACGAAATCATGCCCACTTGGCTTGCACCACTGTATCCGGCAGATGTTTTTTAATTTTAGGTATTAATGGCTATTACTAGTGTAAGGCACAGAAGTAGAACCCCCCCGGGTTAGATACGGAACTTACACTAGTATCAGTTAACTAAAGGCTGTTAGAAATATTGTCAATATATGTAACATTACTTAATTTGAACAAAGTAGTAACTTATAGGTGGGGCAACCTAAATTTCTCATGGGCAACCAAATTTTTTACTTCTTCCCCCGTTTCCAGATGTGCAAACTGTTTTGACTGCCCGTCCTGTAAGCACACCCTGTCCACACGTGCCACCAGTGTGCTGGTCCCGAGCGCTGACGATCCCAACAAGGCCGTGGCCAAGAAGGCGTACTACCTGGCCTGTGCCTTCTGCCGCTGGACATCACGAGACATCGGCCTGAAGGACCAGTCTGTTGGTAAGTACCAAGGACCACAAAGAGCCTCATGTACAAATGTATATGTGTGGCGTTGGGTGGTGTAGTGGTTAGAGCAATCGACTATGAAGTGGGGAGACCCGGGTTCGATTCCAAGTCGTACCCGGGACATGTCTGGACATGCGCCCCAACGTTGTGTCCTTGGGAAAGGCACTTTACACGACTTTCCTCACTCCACCCAGGTGTGAATGGGTACCTAACTTCGGTTGGGGAAAGTCGTATTGAGGTCACCTTGTGGCGCCGAATGGCAGCCGCACAGACCCTTGCGACAGTTCCACAAAAAATAATTGTGGAACAAATATGTGTATCGTGTGTATTATTTGATTGTTGTAATTGTTGTGATTTGTATTGATTATCATGTGATACCCTGCATCAATTCAGCCATATAAAGGCTGCGACTGCACGGGTACTGTTTGGACAAAAGAAAATCTTTAAAAAAAATATATATATAACAGTATATTCAGGGCTAGAAACACTGGGTGGTGCACCCAAATTAAGAGTTGTGCACCCAATTTTTTTCTGTGGGTGCACCAGTGCATCTAAATATTTTTGTAGGTTTACATATGTAAAGGCATTAAATGTATAGTAGTACAGTAGATTCTTATATTCTAAGTGGCAGGAAAATGATAAAATAATTATAGTACATGTAGTGCTTTTAGTACTAACATTGTACTAAATATCTTGTGCACCCAAAAAATTTTGTGTGCACCCAATTTTATCGATTGGGTGCACCAGTACACCTATTCCCAAAAATGAAATTCGAGTCCTTTAAGTATTCACACATGTAATAATTCACGGAAAAATTGGAAAGATGATTTGTTTAGGGTACTGGTGGGTACTGGGCATTTTGATTTTATCAGGTCCAAGTCCAGATCCAAGTCAAAAGGATTAGGTCCAAGTCTAAACATGAACTAGATTATATGCATACCAGTAGTATTACAGTAAAAGTTCTGTATATCAATCACTCCTATTCTTTGTTACAAATTGCTGAGTAATATTTTGTTTGTCTCACAGCCAGTGGAGGATGGGAAGAACAGGAGAATCCCAATGCAAAAAGGGTAAGTGAATAATTAGTTGTGTAAGGTAAAGAGGTGAAAGTCTTCCCTAACGTTTTCAATCCATCTCTGTCTTGGTCGACCTTGTGGATTTTGGCCTTCCAAGACCCACAGTCAACAACAAAATGACACTTATCCTCACATTATGTAACTTACAAAATGGGCAATTTCTTTGCTTAATGTAGATGTTATCCAGGGTTCTAGCCAATATGACAGTCCGTTTTTCGGACGGTCATATTGGCTAGACGGTCATCATTTGACGGAAATTTGCTGTTCGTGACGGACAAAAATTTTGCTCATTCAGTCATATAATTTTTTTTCTTGAAGAAAAATCCAGGCATGTAAACTGTCAATATATGGTAATTTTTCACCAAAAGAGCTTCTACATGCAAATTTTGTCCCTCAAACTGCAGAAGATGGCGTTTTTGAATCAGAGGGTCAAGATTTTGACATTTTCCTGGGGGAGCATGCCCCCAGACCCCCTAGAATTGTCACGGCGCTCAACATGTGGCTTGACAGAAAAGATTTTCATTCTAGCTAGAACCCTGATGTTACCAGCACGTCGGCAGAACGTACTGCACCTGCGCGAAACCCGTAATGTATTGTACATAGCATTTCGGCAGAATGTCTCATATAAGGTTGTATTCGCTCATATAAGGTTAGCATTTCGACAGTAGTTTCCAAATGTTGTGTCTGAAAGAATATCCTCTGCAACAGGCAAAATTCTGATGCAACGTTGACCAAAAACCCAACGAAAAACGCGAAAATACGGGGTTCTGCGCAGGCGCAGTACGTTCTGCCGACGTGCTGATGTTACCAGTCTAATTTTCACACATTTCCTCTGTTTGTGAGCAGATCTCAGAGCTAGTGGAGTATTACAAACAGGTGGCACAGAAGGAGAAGGCAGACAGGGAGAGGAAGAAATATGCCAAGAGCAGGATCCGACTTCTGGGCATGTCTGTAAGTCATGGTAACAACGTAGGAACTAACACACACATATGCCTAAAAGATTACTGCAAAGAAATGTCTTCAATAGAAACATCTGTAAAGATACATTTGTGAAGAAACCATTTAGCTATCTTGTTGCTTTGGGCTTATCCATGAATCTTGTTTGTATAAGAAAGACTTTTTGTCATTTTTTGATGTGATGTCATTTTTGGAATTTATAGAGACTGTAGATATCTTTGAATGATATGTTTGTCCTTTCAAGTTGTAAATGCACATTGCAACACAGTTTTGCTGCCTTGTTAATTAGTTACAGTACAAAACAAGAGAACTAAAACCATTCTTAATGGAAATTCTAGGCCTAATTTCACAGATTTTACTATTTTACTTTAAATTTTTAGGAAAAAAAATTAAGTGTCAAAGCTGGGAACTTATTGTTGTAACTTCTATACATGTATCCACTATCACTGTAGGGTTCTATACAATGTACATTGTACATTTGTACATGTATGTAAATTGTATGTATCCACTATCATTGTAGGGTTCTATACATGTACATGTATGTGTCCACTATCATTGTAGGGTAAATATGCTTCTCAAAGTGCCCGCCGCCATGCCTCCCTCACTTCTATGCAGAACCTGAGGTAAGTAGACAGGCATGTCGCCATCTGTACAATGACTGGTATTGCATGGTGCATGCAAAATGCATTGGTCACACCTAACTGCTATACATGTAGGCATGCTGCATGAAGTTGGTGTTGCTGGCTACATTGTCTGCAATTTCAAATGCATTGGTGAGATGTAACATTTAAAAGCAGCACTGTGGTGTCACTATTAACAATTGATGTGTTTTTCCAATCTAACATTGCTAACTCTCCTTGCGCATATGGGATTGATAAACTTACATGTGGGTGTACATTATGTATGGAAGCCTTAATAATTTAGTAAATCATGACATACTAATACTTACTACGCTAACATTTTTGGTATTTAGTATAATTACTATCACTTGTATCAGAATTTTAAGTGTGTCATCATATGAATATCGTCTTGGAAAATAGCGTAGTTTTTCCAAGCATTTTCATGATGTATATAAACTTTAAGTACAATGTATATTTTTTTTATTTAAAAAGAGCACAGGGTAGTTGTCCAAGTAATGCTTGGTGCTATTTACTTTGTTAACTATAGGTATGTGAATGAGGCATTATTAAACTTGCATGAAAATGATACTCAGTTCAAGTTATGATCATTAAAATCTCTTTGATGTGATTGCAAATGCATTAATAAATGCAATATGTTAAAACAGTTTTATCACAAAATACCTCAACCATGTAACTGTAAGTTGAATGTGCCTTGCTTCAATCCTATGTCTGCATGAACTGTTCATAACTGAATGCAAGACTGTTTGATCATAATCAAATTGAATGGAAAATTCAATAAATCTAATCAATCATTAATCCTTGATAATTGTATGAAGTCTGACGTATCAAAAATAATCGTAATCAGTTACACAATCACAATCCTCATCTACAGTAGTCAATGTTAAAAGAAAATCATGACAAATTTACTAAAAAAATTCTCACATTGTTAGAAGCTTGAGCATGGCACGTGTAGTGATGCATACCGGTTCACTGAACTTGGATCCGAACTTGTAAGAATGTTTAGGTTCAAGTAAAAAAAACCCTAAAAGTCAAGAACCGAGTCCGGACTTATTACCTTAAAAGACCATTTCACATACCCCTTTTCTTTCCAAAAAACCTAAAACCTTCCATAAATTGCACAATCTTTGCTGCAAAATGAAGAAAACATTGCCATCGGGCATCGTCAAGTACCATGTTATGTGGCCAAAGTTTCACCCAGACAACATTGCAAGGTTGCCAACATGCAATTTTGTATATGTCATGGGTTTAGGTCCGGACTTACAAGTCCGGAACTGAACCTAAACCTCTGGACTTGAATCCGGACCTGAACCTAAAATTGAGTTTAGGTATGCATCACTAGGCACGTGTTGACCGTGACATTGAACTATATTTGCTTGTTTCAGAATCAGCGCCCCAGACGCTGACACAATGTCACTGTAAGAATCAAATTTGTATACTGTTGTGGACTTTTTTTCTTCACATCATTTTTTGGTACAAATAAAACAAAATTAGAAAGTTAGTAAATCGTATCCTTGTACATGTCCAGAAGAGGGAATGGCAACAGTTTTTTCTCCGGTGTTGGAAAATTTGGGATGCTCCTACTGTTAGGCCACACCAATTTAATTTCTTGGTTACTGGATTTTTCTAGAAAAATAATGGAGCAGGCGGGCGAAAAAAAACAGGCCTAGGCATCCTATTATGGCCCAAAATGGTACAATAGGAGCCATGAAGTCAACACACCAGGCTGGTTCAAAATTTAAACAATGAATTTTGAACTTTTGATAATACCATTGCATTAAAAGATGGAATAACTGTAACAACTAGGAAGAAAAGGACTGTTTTCAACTGTGCAGGTCACAATAAGAGCATTTTGCAGTTGATTTTTAATTTTTTTTGCAAATCAGAAAAAAATGAGGCGGCGATTCCGTTAACCAAGTAATTAAATTGGTGTGGCCTTATCTAATGGTGTTAAGTTATTGAATCATTAACTTGGTTATTGACAAGGGATTTCTTCATTAAAGAATTGATGCTTTCGCCTTCTATGGACATGTCACAAGAATAGTATTGCCTGCTTTAAAAAAAAGTTGTAGATTTTGAGATTTTTGCTTGCGTTTAAAAGACACTGCAGAATGTGTGAATTAGTCACATTATTTTTCATCAGTTTCATCATAAATCGTGCCCTAAATGCAATGTTTTATATTACATGTACATTAAATATTAAGTAAAATTTTTCGTTAAAGTTTTCGTTAAGTTTAAAGAGTTTTAACTCTGTCATGGCTACAATTATAAAAAAAAAAAAGATAAATAGATAACAATAGATAGAATATTCTCAAGTTATATTCAAAGTATGGCCATCTTTTTACATCATCCAAAACGCCTCATTTTACTTGTAGCATTATGTAGTAATAGGCACTGAACTACAGACATAATTATTTCAGCTAGAGTAGAGGTAATGTCAGCTAGAGTAGATATTGTAATGAAAGTTCATTTGTACATGTACAAACTGTATGTGTTCAAATTGGTAGTTACATGTATAAAGTTAAAACATTTGATCCAACACAAAGAATTGTTCTCACCTAGAGCTTTGACTAGTCACTCTGGTCTTCTTCAATAGACTGACCCAGTGAGACTTGTCATGTGGCTTTTCTGATCTGAAGTGTGATGTCAACACTGGCCAGCATCATGTACCAGATACCTTTGACCCAGTGTTGACATCACACTTCAGAGCAGGGCCCGAAATTCATTTTTGGGAATAGGTGCACTGGTGTACCCAACCTAAAAAATTAGGTGCACAAAAAAATTTTTGGGTTCACCATATAAAACAAAACATAACTAGAAAGGCCAATATTTGCTTTGGGGCAAATACAGCGATGGGTTCACCACATTTTACGACATGGCAGGGAAAGAATGAGAAACACAAGGGAAAACAATGATTTACATTGATATAACTATAATATGAAGTAAAATACAACTAAAACAACAGTTGGATAGCTATTCCCTACTTTATTGGTTAGGATTTTTAATTGCATAATGCAAACTGTTGATTTTTCAAAATAAAAAAAAACGTACCATGCCCGCCATTCCTAACTAGCTGGAGGCAGGAAAGGACTTGTAAATAACC